TTAGGCATATTTGTATAACCAGGTCATATGGGATTAGTAGATTCCAGAGAACCATCATGACACTAATAACAATAAAAATATTCACAGGGACTTTCTTCTCAGTGAGAAATATCTCTCTAAACATTTTGTAGTATTTTCAGCAACATCACAAATTTAATTATTTCATGAAGAAAACAGTTTAACAAATTTTTGCGAAGATGAGTTTCAATTGACTATAATATAACGCTTATATTTTCTCTTGCCTTCTTAAAACTTTTATTTATTTATTTATTTTGGTACTGGGAATTGAACCCAAGGGTGCTTAACCAATGAGCCACATCCCCGGTCCTTTTTTTATATTTTATTTAGAGACAGGATCTAGCTAAGTTGCTAAGGACCTCGCTAAATTGCTGAGGCTGGCTTTGAACTCATAATCCTCCTGCCTCAGCTTCTGGAGGAGCTGGAGCCACTGGGATTACAGTCATGTGCCCCTGCACCCGGCTTCTCTCACTTTTTATAAAACACAATCCAGACAATAGGTTATTTGTCCCCAATTAACTAAAATAAAATTTTGCAACTTTCAAGGAAACATAACATGCCCTCCTGTTGCCACGGCAATGCTTGTGCTCACCACCACTTATTAGTGGAAAACTGCCAAGCAAAAGCAATCTGTGTGTGAGGGAGGGGAAGGGGGAACATTTATACATTATTTGCAGGGAGATAAAGCCTTATGAGGAGAGGAGGTGGCCAGGTTTCCTAACGAGAAGCAGCTTGGCCCAGGAGCAGAGAGGAAGGCTAAGCATGTGATGGCATTAGACCCTTCTCCTACATCTTGGACTTCTTGTCCCTCTTGATCCTGCCTTTTGTATCACAATCATGCAAACAAACATGGAACCCAGTACATGAAGGAATGGGAACGTGAAAGAAGTTAATTGAATGCATTTTTCTCAGGTTGTCTCATTATTTCACTTTCTCCCTTTAAATGACAGTTTGAAGTGGAACACAATCTGTGTGATCGGGAGCAGAGATTTTGCTGTAGATTTAGCACTGTGTGACATGTACAAAAAGAAAGCACAATGTCAGAAGTGGAGTGGCAGTCACTGCAATGAAACAGTTGCCATAAAGTTTCCCCTCACCTTTCGGTGAACTGTATTTCTGTTTAATGACACATCTACTGTGTAGTGATACCAAGTATGTCTGTGGCATTATGTCCCACACTGGCTGAGGTCTTTGCAAGTAGTACCTTCCAGAGTCCATGCACCAGTCTGAACTCTCAGCAGATGAGAAATACAAGGACACTAATCACTCCACAGTATTCGATCTGCAGAATTCCCTCTGTTCTGGAATTCTGTAGCCTGTCACAGGGTAGTTCACAGACCATATTAGCATCACTAGGGTCCTTTTTAACCATGTGGACTCCCAGCCCCACTGCAGACCTGCTGCATCAGGATCTTTAATAGGGTCTCCAAGAGATTCAATTGTACGTTCAAGAAACAATGTTCTACAGGACCAAACAAAACAAAATATAGAAACATATAAGAGAAGCCAGGCACGGTGGCACATGCCTGTAATCCCAGCAGCTCAGGAGGCTGAGGCAGGAGGATTGCAAGTTCAAAGCCAGCCTTAGCAAAAGCGAGGCACTCAGCAACTTGGTGAGACCTGTTTCTAAATAAAATACAAAATAGGGCTGGGGATGTGGCTCAGTGGTTGAGTGTCTCTGAGTTCAATCCCTCGTAACCCCAAAAAAGAAAAAGAAATGTATTATTTCTGAGATGCGGTCTTGCTGTATTGCCCAAGCTGGCCTTAAACTTGTGATCCTCCTGCCTTAGCTTTCCAAGTAACTGAGATTACATGCAGGTACTAGCATACCTGCCGGAGCCCATAAATTAAGAAACTAGAAATATATCCACCAAACATGATGTATACATGCTGTTGGAATAAAAACAGCTGCCGAGACTAGCTCACAGAGTTGTCAAACTCGAATGCAAGAATGGATGTGAAAATGATCTGTAAATCATACAGCACTAGTCAAATGCTACTTGCATCTATTTTCTTTTGAAAAATAGAGGCAATTTTGAAACTGAGCCATAAAATGGCAACTTCTCTCTTCCTAAAAACTGTTCAAGTTGTTTTTTCAGGATGCAAGCACAGAACCCTAGTACCAGACCTAAAATGACTTTGAGAGCCTGATGGAACCAAAATTTTCTGAGAAGCAGAACCTGAGAAAGAGAACAGGGCCTTGAAAACTTAGATTAGAAGCAAGGGATGCTGTCAACAGTTCTCAATTATCCATAAGTGTAACTATGGACTGGACTATGAGGTAAGGACTATTCTAACAAGATTGCAGTTACAACCCCTCAGCCTTTGATTTCTCCACTTAAATTTTTTGCTAGTGGCTGATCGGCAGACAGACTTGAGCTTGTTTCCCATCTCCTTGTCAGCTGGCCTTCAATAAATTTCTTTTTGCAAAAACCCAGTGCCATAGTATTGGCTTCTGTGTACACTGGGCAGTGAGCCCTTGATGGCTATGAATCTGGTTTACAAGCATGAGCTTTACAATCAGAAATGCTCTCTAGGTTTATATACCAGGAAAAAAAAACCCTTGTGGAACTGGAACACATGAATAAGCATCACATATTTCCCATTTCCTCATCTGTGAAGTAAAATAATAGCCACTGAAGTAGACTGGCTTGCTGTCAAACTACCTGCTTTCTTTCTCTCATTAACCCCTTTCTGCCAGCAGGGCAGAAATATAATTTTTGGGTTGCTTTTAAACCCCCTGTCATTGACAATTCTGGCCAAATACCTTCTCTGGTCTAGAGAACAAGGATGCACATAGCACACGTCACTGTGGAGCATTAGGAGCTGCTAGGACAATCTGCCACCACCATCTTCCCTCTGTCATAACAATGGCAACAGCCCTGAGATGGCTACTCCTTTGTTAGAATGGGGAAGACATGGATTGAGGGAACACTCAACCTGCGTGTGAGCCTCAGTCCATACTTTCAAAAAGTTATGATGGAATAAAATGCAATCATTTCCAATTTCTCATGAATATTGTCCTTAAAATCCCCTTTAGGGCCAGGCATGGTCTCATGAACCTATAATCCTAGCAGCTTGGGAGGCTGAGGCAGGAAGATTGCAAGTTCAAAGCCAGTCTCAGCAACTTTCTATCTCAAAAATAAGAAAAGGGCTGGGGATGTGGGCTCAGTGGTTAAGTGCCCCTGGGTTCAATCCCTGGTACCAAAATAAATAAATAAATATAAAATAAAAATCCCATTTAGGTCCATAACATATTTTTATGCCTAGACTTTGCTTGGGAAGCTTACATCTATAGGAGTTAAAAATATGCTCTTATTGGGCTGGGGATATAGCACAGTTGGTAGAGTGCTTGCCTCACATGCATAAGGCCCTGGGTTCAATCCCTAGCACTACACACACACAATATGCTCTAATGGCATATTGACTGTTTTGAGTTAAAGGCACCTAAAAAAACAAATAAACAGCAGGTAAAAGAGGATCACTCTGACCTTCTTTCTGTTTCTATAAACAGGAGAAGAAATTCCCAGGTGAAAGGTACCCTCCATGTACTAGAAGGAAAACGGCATTTTCATCAAGGACAGGAAGTTGAGATAGAATTCTGTACAAACTTTGTTTAAATAACTCGAACTGTATCTTCCAACATAATTTAGTTGCTATTTTTACAACTTCCTATCTTTGTCCAACTCAGTATGTAGAAGTGCTTGACTCCAACTCCTTCTTTGGGTCTTCATATCCTTATGAGGGCTCCTGGGCCATGAAAAATTTACACTAAATACATCTGCTTTTTTTCTTGTTAATCTGTCTTCTGTCAATTTACTTCTTAGGCACAGTCAAAAACCCTATAAGGGAAGAGGTGAAGTTTTGCCTCCCCTGCTTCACCCATTATATAGCCTTGTAAACGCCAACCTCTCTTGACTACGTAATACTTAAAATCCTTAATCCAATTTATCTAAACAAAGTTACAAGGTCATTTACATAAACAGTATTCAGACTGATGGCATTTTTTAAAAAAGTTGGTTTAGAATACAGTTGGAAATGTAAAGAGTTTTTAGTTCATGCAGTGAAAGAATTTGTCTGCCGTTTTGCAATTTCACATGAATTTCTTCCAAGTCCTTTTGCTCTCAGAATAATTCTTAAATTTTAATTTAATTATTAAAATAATTTAGTTCCTCTCATTTTCCTTACAGTTTTTCAACATCTGTGTTGTTAGTGTCACTTAAAATGATGTAAAGCAATCTAAACTATAAATGAGTATTGGAAAATTTACCTCCCAGCAATAGGTGAATGAGGTAACTCACAGGTTGTTGAATGATTTTCAACAGGAATATCCCATTACCCCATCACTTTTTAAATCTCAGTGCTCAGGGTGAGATGATCAGTAGCAATAAAACATCCAGCAATAGTTTTCCTATCTTTTTGGGGGGTGCAGGGGAGTACTAGGGATTGAACTCAAGGGCACTTGGCCACATCCCCAGCCCTATTTTGTATTTTATTTAGAGACAGGGTCTCACTAAGTTGCTTAGTGCCTCACTTTTGCTGAGGCTGGTTTTGAACTCACGATCCTCCTGCCTCAGCCTCCCAAGCTGCTGGGATTACAGGCCTGTGCCACTGCACCCAGCTTCTACCATTTTTCACACATTGCTGGGTCTAGCTTCCACTCCGAAATCATGAAAAGAACAAAGTCAAATATCCACCAGACCACTTGAACTCTTACACCATTCCAGTGAACCAGTATTTAAGTAAAGTATTTGATAGAACAAGTGAATGATTTCTGAAACAGCAATAAGCATTCTAAAGTTGGACTGTAGCTGACACAAAGTAAAGGGGAAAAAAGCTAAGGAAGATTTGGTGCTTTCATTGCTACCTTTCGGTTTCTAAATGGTTGCTTGCACAGTTATTTTTCTGATTAAAGTTGTCAATTGCCTGTTCCTGTGAACGTCGATCAGCACCCTGGAGTATTATGTTTCGAGGTAACTTACGAAGAGAAGACAAGCTGGAGGAGCCCCGCAGAAACTGGTGTAAACCGTCTTCCCCGTCGCTAGAGCTGGCTATGCTGTTCCTCATTTCCAGCATGGAGATCTGTGCGCAAAGGCTGAGCTGGTGCTCTAACTTTTTGGCCTTCTACAAAGCAAAGTTTTAATATTTCAGAGATTTATGGAACTTGAATCACCTATTCCCTGTAAGCAGCATGTACTTTTCCTTGAAATAAGTTAGTACAAAAAGAAAAAAGGACCTGGGACACATTTAGTGCCCTATAAATGTGAGATATGATTTTTATTATTAGGTGTTACTATAAACACATTATAAAAAATTAATATACTCAATAGCCTATTTACTAATTTGAAATAATAAGCTCAAACTTTTTTTTTTGTGAGCAGTTTCTGTGTGTAAATGTTTTCATATTGCTGAGTGTTCTGTTTAGTTTTATTATTATTATCATTTTTATTTGTTATATATGACAGCATAATGCATTACAATTGTAATTCATATTACATACATAGAGTATAATTTTTTATATCTCTGATTGTACACAAAGCAGAGTCACATCATTCATCATACATGTACTTAGGATAATGATCACCATCTCATTCCACCATCTTTCCCACCCTCATGCCCCCTCCCTTCCATTCCCTCCCCTTTTCCCTATCTGGAGTTCCTCTAATCCTCCCATGACCTCCACTCTAAACCACAGTATGAATCAGCATCCTTAAATCAGAGAAAACATTCAGCATTGTTTTTTTTTTTTGGGGGGGGGTGGGGATTGTTGGCTTTCCTCACTTAATAAGCTCAAACTTAATGTGATAAATAGCCTAGACTAGATGAGTTAAGAGACACGTGCCATAGTCTATGTTCCTGGAGAACGGTACGTTTCACAGAAACAGTGTTTTGCAAGTTCTCTTCCATAAAAAATTCAATTTCCTTCTAAACAAATGTGGGAGATTATGATCAAATTGCAAACTGTTGATCTTTGCAGCTTTGCAAGTTTACACTCTCCCGTTACCTGTAGGATTCCTGGGAGATGGAGTGGCCAGGAAGATGTGCAAGACTAGAAGACAGCAGGGCTAAAAATGCCAACCTCCTGCACTTGGGGCCTTGTCTGTCAGCCCTTCCCTGTCTACCGCCTCCCACTGCCACACCACCCTGGGCCCCCTCTAACCCGAGTCCTTGTTTAAAAGACTCTTAAAGAGGACAGTACCTGATACCCATAAATGCTGGTCCCTGACAGTTATAGACTCCTCACTAAGTGATTCAAATTAAATAATTGTGAAATACTTTCTTGCTCTTAAGAAACAATTTGCTGAAGGATTTCTCCCTTACAAGTATCCCTTTGCATTTAGCATAGACTACTTAATAAAAATTCGGGAAAACATTGTGTCAAGTGAATAATACCCCACCCTACATATTTATTTAAGAAAAAAAATCAGAAAAGCACTTACTTTATCATTTATGGTGGGATCATTCAATGAATACAGCTTATTTGTAATGTCTTTTCCTATAAGATATCTAAATATTTCATACAGGAAAGGCTCTGATTCCAGAAAGTAAGTTAATCTTTCTCTTGACCAGCATAAAAATCTGCAGTTATCGTCTGCAATAATGGTGACCTGCCAAAGACACAAAGGAAAAAACATATCTACCAATATGAATTATGACTGTAGTAATTTGGGAGAAGGGAAGAGTACATTTAGCAGATATTATCATAGCAATGATTCTGTCATATTATTTATATTCCAAGTTTCTATAATCATGTATAAAATTATGTTTAAAAACATTTTGCATTGGAGGCTGAGTCAGGGTGATCTCAAGTTCAAAGCTAACCTCAGCAATGGCAAGGCACTAAGCAACTCAGTGAGACCCTATCTCTAAATAAAATACAAAATAGGGCTGGGGATGTGGCTGGGTGGTTGAAGTGGTTGAGTGCCCCTGAGTTCCATTCTACAGACTAAACAGAAGCAAATCTCTTCTGTTGTTTTTGTGAGGTCTGGGGACAGAAGAATGGCTGCTGTCAACATGTTGCCGTAGAGTGTGCTAGACTGATATTACAATTGGACCTGTCATTTACAGGTGAATATTTCTTTATATCCTGTTGAAGATAATGAGCTTTAAGAACAGAGCTTCAAACAAATGAAATGAGGTACGATTTGTCAGGCACAGTGCAGAAAAAGATCTTCTGCCAAGCTGACCCAACAAATACACACTTGAGACTGAGAAACTTTAAGGCCGTAGGCTGTTACCAATGAGTACAGTTGGTGAGCATCCTTGGCCTTTCAAGGCTAGCTCCATGGTAGCCCACTGGGGATACACACAGAGATACCTCAATTTGCTCAGACTGTGAAGCCATACCCTTTCTGCTAAGTACGATGCACAAGAAGTGGGAGGACACTGTAGATGCATCACCCAGAATTCAAGAATCCCTGGAATAAATCCTTTCTCCAGAGTGAGGGCCACCTTCTCACAGCTCAGTGTCCAGAAGCCACTCTCCCATGCAGGTCCTCTTCCAGCACTGAGTATTCCTTTTCAAATGTCACTCATACCACTACCTCCAAACTTATCTGTTAACACATGTGTCTCCTAAGCACACTGATGGCAGGGATCCTGAGTTTTCAGGTCTGAATGTCAAGCTTCTGACACACAGTAGTGCTCATGCATGATTATTATATAAAGGAATTAACAAATGAATGCAGATACTGTTGAAGGCAAAAACCATTTTTAGATCCTCCACATTAAACCCAATGCCTGCTCCAGTATGAGATTAATAAAGGTTTGTAAACTGACATGAAGTCTTATCTGAGCTTCAGAGCAAATATTTTCAAAGAAGTTTTTTCCCCTTCATAAGGCACAAAAATTATATACATTTCAGATGGCTAAGAGTGTATTTAAGTGTACCAAGAGAAAAAATGAAAAAAAAAAAAAAAAAACAGCTTCTCTCTTTTACATCAATAGGCTGAAATCTGCAATCTTTAGCAAATTAGAGGGTTCAGCTATTTAAAAAAGTGGGTCGATGTTCCTAGAAAAAAGAAAGTTCAGACTTTTTTTAATGTTAAAAGTCAGTGTTGGGGCGGGGCTGGGGTTGTCTCAGGTGAGGAGGTCGCGCAGGAAGTGGCTCTGGCCGAGGCGCCTCTATGTTGTACGGAGCCTGCGCGGGGATTTGTTGTTAAGGGGGCGCGGCACCACCCAGTTGTCTTCACTTCCCATTGCAGCAGCCATGGCGAAAGGCAGAACTTCCGAACGGTCGCAGACTGGAGCACTCCAGACGACCCCAGTGGGGGACGGGAACGCGGGGACGCGGGGCCCTGCGGCGCCGGGGAGCAGAGACTATGTAAAAGAAAAAGCCTGGGCAGAAGCTGGGTCAGCAAGAATGTCACTCCTTATATTGGTGTCTATTTTCTTATCTGCAGCATTTGTTATGTTTTTGGTATATAAAAATTTTCCTCAGCTTAGTGAAGAAGAAAGAGTGAATATGAAGGTTCCCAGAGATATGGATGATGCCAAGGCTCTAGGAAAAGTTTTATCCAAATATAAGGACACCTTTTATGTACAAGTACTTGTAGCTTATTTTGCTACATATATTTTCTTGCAAACATTTGCTATTCCAGGCTCTATATTTCTCAGTATACTCTCAGGGTTTCTTTATCCCTTTCCACTAGCCTTATTTCTTGTTTGTTTGTGTTCTGGACTTGGTGCCTCATTCTGCTATATGCTCTCCTATTTGGTTGGAAGACCAGTTGTGTACAAATACCTAACAGAGAAAGCAGTAAAATGGTCACAGCAGGTTGAACGTCATAGAGAACATCTCATTAACTATATTATATTTTTGAGAATAACGCCATTTCTGCCTAATTGGTTTATTAATATTACATCTCCTGTGATAAATGTGCCATTGAAAGTTTTTTTTATTGGCACTTTTCTAGGTGTTGCACCCCCCTCTTTTGTAGCAATTAAAGCAGGAACAACACTGTACCAGCTTACAACTGCAGGGGAAGCTGTTTCCTGGAACTCAGTATTTATTTTGATGATTTTAGCTGTTCTTTCTATTCTGCCAGCCATCTTCCAAAAAAAACTAAAGCAAAAATTTGAGTGAAAAATCATCTGGGTTTGGGTTTGCTTTCATCATCATCATCATCATCATCACCATCATTATCATCTCAGGATTAGCAGGTGCATCCATTTATGTTTCTAAATCACCTCTTCAGTAATTGAAACGAGGAATTTGTAAAATAATATTTCCTATCAGACATAAAATAAATGCATATAAGTGTCAAGGTAAAAGAGGAAAGTAAAAATGGAAATTGATATACTATGAAAAGTACTGTCATCAATAGTTATTATACACATAAATTATTGTACCAAGGGTACCTATAGGTAGATACTATAATAATAGCATGGTAGGAATTCTTGGTATAACTGATTCATTCAAGTTAATATTTTTCTCATATCTAATGATTAAAATAGATAGTGGTGCAATTCTTGGTAATATTAGCCTTCTTTCAGAGCTTAAGCTGGATAACTAAAGTTTCAAAGAGATTTGTTTTTTCTCTTTTTGCCTTTGATGTAATGAATTTGTTTAGAGGTTGTATCCTCATAGACCACTGAATATAGAAAGGATATCAAGTTACCTATTTTGTTAATATTATTTTTATTTCTCTTATAGACTTTTATCATGGATTAGTCTGGTAATTTAGATTCTGGCCAGTCTATTTTCATCCTTTTTTTCTACCTTTTACAATGTTTGCACCGTCATATAAAAAATGAGAATTACATGATAACTATCATTGGAGTTGATAATTTATATTCAGATAATATTTTGTTACAGTGTCTCTTTAATATCTCTGAAGCTTATAGTTTTTAGACATTAGAATAATTATTTTGTATTTTGAAACAAACAATGGCAGCATGGCACTAGTGGTTAAATGTTGTTTATTTGTTCTAATGACTGTAAAATTTACCTCATTTATTTATTAGTCTGGTCATTAATTATTACGTAATTATCCCTTTTATGCATGATACACCTAGAAGAATGCCTTGTTTTCCTGTGATGGCTTTTTTTGTTTGGGACTGTTTTTGATTAATGCAGTTTCCCAATTTAGAGTTTTTACTTTTCTAACTCAAAAAAGTAACTTCTCATGTGGTAACTATTGTACTTAAATAGTTCTGGAAAAACTAAACCACTTTTTGCTGCTTGATTAATGGTAATGCCCTTGGTTCCTTGTATCCAGGACACAGCCATTCTAAAGTACTGTGTCAGTTTTAGCTTCATCAAGACTGTCATTATGTTGAAAAGTGTTTTAGCTGTGTTAAAAATCCTTTTATGTTTTCATTGTGAGAAGATCATCCTTAAAGTTTCTACTACATGATGTGGACTGATTTATTTTTTTCTATCACAGTATTAACAAATGGATGTATTGTAAATACAAAGAAAATATATTGGTTAATATAGTAAGTCTTATGTCAAAAAAAAAAAAAAAAAAAAAAAAAAAAAAAAAAAAAAAAAAAAAGTCAGTGTTGGGGCTGGGGTTATAGCTCAGTGGTAGAGCACCTGCCTAGCATGTGCGAGGCAATGGATTTGATTTTCAGCACCACATATAAATAAATAAAATAAAGGTTCATCAACAACTAAAAGAAAATATTAAAAGAAAAAGTCAGTGTCTCCAAAACCAAACATGTTTGAATTTAAGAAATTAACCAGCAGCTGTAAAACTCCATAAAACACTAAATTCCATTCATTCTTTCTATACATTAATACAGACTTACTTAATTCCAGATACTTTTCAAGGCACAGAAGTTGCAAAGTAAACAAGACAAGATCCTTGCTCCATGAAGCTTATGTTCTAGTGGAGAAGGCTGATCATAAATGAAGAAATATGACAACCTCAGGTGACAGTAAGTGTCTGACAAATACAGAACAGGGGAAAGTGATAGAGAATAACCAGGGGATGATAGTTGAATATAATGTCACTTATTTTATATATGTATTGGTTCTTTTAAACACTTAAGATGCCTTTACATCTATCATGTAAATGTATCCTTAACATTGCCTTTAAAATAAGGCAGACAATATTTCTCATTTGTCAGATGCTAAATGAGAAAGACCAAAAAACTTACTCATGAACACATGTTAGTTAGGGGGTGGTGTGAGTACTTTTCATTGCTAGCCCAGACATTTCCCCACCATGCCAAATCCAATTCAATGCTTCCCATGTTCATAGACAATCACATACTAGTAATTCAGCTAAGTGACCACAAGGTTGGCTTTACAGTGCATCAAGAGCCCTTCATATAAAGAACAGCTAAACACAGGATCACTATTTCTGTGTTTTAGTGAAGGAAGCTGATAATAAAGTAGTATGACTAAAATATGAAAAGACTTATTGGAAGAGAAGTATAAGGTCCAGCCATAGGGAATTCCCAGAAAGAGTAAGTGGTGGATAAGTAAATGAAAGGCAAATGTTCAATAGTAGAAATAACGGAAAGGTGAGCACTGGGTACTCATGGTGACACAGCCACACACATAAGCCCTGAAGAGAGGGTAACGGGACCTAAGGTCCTTTCATTATGTAGATGTCATCTGAGACTCTGGAAAATACAATTCACCTGCAGTGGGGCAAGAGTTACAGGAGAAGTTGGAAATCATTCAGGAGTAGAAATTTGACTTGGACAATACATGTAATGTATTTAATTTTTCTTCAACCATGTGAATTACCTCAAGTTTCCTCTGAGGCATGATACTTTTTATCATGACACTATAATCTGTCTAGCAAATCCATCTATTACTTACAGTTGAAAATTACTTTATACCTGTTTAAATTATTATTGAATATTTAATAACAGCATGCATATAACAAACTATACCTATAGTATTTGGGAGCCAGTGGCTAGTGCATTCACGGAGGCTATTTTGCTTGATAGCTAATGTTTCACTTCTGCCAAATAGATAGTTAAATTTAATGATTTCCTGTCACAACAGTCAAGTGTATTTTAATGAAAAAATTCAAATAAATCAACATAAGAATTTTTAAAGCTTCCATAAAATAAATTTACTTCTTATTAGGGTACTTCAGCAGTACCATGTCTGAATTCTTGTGAAGAATTTTACTGAAGAAATAAAAGCAAAGCAATAAAAGCAAGAAACTCAGCAAGGCAAAACACAAAAAATCTTTCAGATGGAGAAGTAGACTGTTTGCAACTGGGTTTGCCCTGATTATTTCAAGGCACTGACCGGATGAGTCCCTGACTTTAGATTCCAAACCAGTTCTACACCTGCCATAAAGAAAAGGTAGTGGACTCTATCCTGCGGGGAAAGAGGGCATCTGGGAGACGTGCTGAATGAGCTAGTATCAGAAAGAGCTGTCTGAAAAGAAGAGAAAGAGCTGTCTGAAAGGATTATTCAACTGTCCTAAGGGAAGAATTTATTACTTTTTTTAATGCATCATACAGCATTTTACATACCAGGAAAATGAAAATATCCTAGAATTGTTCTATTCAACTGATGCTCATTGAGTTCTCATGGGCAGTAAAATACAGCAGAGTTAAAACTGGCAAATTATTAGTCAGCGTCACTGAAATATCTACTTAGTATTAAGATACTCTTTTCTTTAAATACCAATTAAAACTTAGCATTAACTTATTTCACAATTCATTTATTTCACATATACATATTCACCTATGCCTCCAAGACCTTCCTCTTCTCTTTAAGTGAATAAAATTGATTTCCAGGCTTTGCAGCACCAGGACATGCTACCGGCTATGGGAAGGCAAAAGTATGAGATAGAATGCAAAAGAAAAATGTGCAAATGGGAATGCTCATTTCAGATAAGACAACTGCATGAAGAAAAAGAAACCAAACACAAAACACCTTTTAAGGTGTAAGAATGATACTCAAGATTCTTCTTCCTCTTCTTTTTCCTCCTCCTCCTCCTCCTCCTCCTCTTCTTCTTCTTTCTTCCTCCTCCTCCTCCTCCTCCTTCCCCTTCCTCCCTCCTCCTCCCCCTCCCCCTCCCCCTCCTCCTCCTCCTCCTTCTTCTTCTTCGGACTGAACCCAGGGATACTCTACCACCAAGCCACATCCACAGTCCTATTTTGCATTTTATTTAGAGACAGGGTCTCACTGAGTTGCTTAGCACCTTGCTAAGTTGCTGAGGCTGGCTTTGAACTCACGATCCTCTTGCTGCAACCTCCTGAGCTACTGGGATTACAGGCATGTACCACCGATACATGGCTGTGATACTCAAGATTCTATCAACAAATTTAAGTGGCAGCTTTGATCTGTATGTACCTACCAGTACCTAGGGAGAATGAATTGCAAGTTCAGAGTCTGTTTGCTCACCCCCATCACCATGTGTATTGTCATTATAATTACTACACATTTACCTGAGCAATACTCTGTGCTGCTTAGGGACTTGCCTTTTCTTTTCTCCTTTTTGTCCTATTATATAATTCATCAGTACTCTGGCCACAGAATGAATTTAAAGATACAAAAATTCAAAGGATGAAGCTCCTTTTTTAATAAAAATGTCTATATTTTTTTAGTTGTAGTTGGACACAATAACTTTATTTATTTATTTTTATGTGGTGCTGAGGATCGAACCCAGGGCCTCACACATGCCAGGCAAGTACGCTAACCACTGAGAAACAGCCCCAGCCCCTGAAGCTCCTTTTTAGAAAACTCCCTAAATAGAGTTAGGGAAGGAGATGAGTTTAGAGGTAAAAAGCATATGGGGAAAGAAGTTTGACCAGTGACTACTTCCAGTGTCCTCTGTGATTGGCACAGGGAGTAAGAAGTTGACCCTGGAAGCACATAGGATTTTCCATTTGTAAACTTGCTTCAGTAAGAGCCATATATAGAGTACTCCTACACAAATGTGCACCAGTTAATTCTTACTCTTGAGTATCTGTCAATAGGAACATTTATAAACAATCAAAGCGTCATCTCTCCCAGAGTTGATGGAGTTGGCTCTGACTGTACAGGCATAGGCTGGTTGATACTAGAGTAATTTTTACCCATTGGCCAATCATGAAATGCCACCCAGGTTCTATGCAGAGAAAAGCTGACTGGGATTAGCCAAGGACAAATCACTGTCTTTCCTCAAGCTACTGTATCTCAATTTTGGTCATGTTCTTAGACTCTCCATATTAGTTTTCAGGAATAATTCTCAACTCCCAAAATCCAACCCTAGTCCCCAAGAAGAAAGAAAATTACAGCTATAAGTAGAAATGAGTTTTCTTTTTCTCTTTCTTTCTTCTTAACTCACTTATAATATAATTTGAAATCCAGTGGAAAAAACGGTGATAATATTTGTATGCCTGGCCTCTCAGGCACCAGTTGCTTCTGGAAACAAAGGTTCAGTCCTCAATCCCAGTCTCCTCAGGATGAGACTGGGTTATCATATAAAACCACCTGCAACTATATACAAAAACAGATGCAGGAGATAAATATTGTGCTTTGAAAAAAGCAGCTATAAGGAAGACAGAGGAAAGGAGAGGAGAAAGAAGTGCCCTGCTCCAGTATGCAGATGGTGGTGATTAAAGATATAATAAGAACATAAATCTCAGCCCACAGCTGACCCCCACAATAACAAGAGTGATAGCGTCAACCAGAGGGGCCAGGATACAGCACCAGCATTCTCTTTCTGTATCTTAAGTGGAGTTAGCATGGGAACACTGACACACACAGTTGGGGAACTTAAATGAGACCTCCTAGTACATGCACCTAAATTTAACAAGCTGTGTGATTACTTAGGCCAGATGGGAGCAGGGAAGGGCTGAAGTCATTATAAATGAAATAAACTAAAGTATATACCTCCAAATTTCCTCTTCTATCTTCACTCTGTGGCATCTCAAAACAAGACTCTAAGATCTTGCCATCAAGAAATACTGCCATTTCTTCTCCCTTAGAACATGCCCTTCAATTCCACTTCCCACCTGAATATTTGTATCATCTCGTTCACAAGCAATCCTATTCTCAAGGTATTTCTTACTACTGTTTTTCCTAAGGCTGAGACTAAAGGACATCCTCAACCATGTTCTTGGTTATTTTCCTACCAACAAAAAATACAATAGGAGGGCTGGGCACTTACAGAAACAAATCAGAACAAAGGGTCATGAAAGGGAGCAATGAAACACACATACACACAGAAGGAATGACACTGAACAGGCCATGTTCAAATTGTTGCTACTGTGAAGGATTTTATTCTTTGCCTTTAAACATATTCATTGAGTATAAAAGGGTAGTGATTAGTTGTTTTTTTTCCCCACAAGTATCAACAAATAAATTCTCTAGGGCAAAACTGGTTTTCCATTTTTCCCTAATAAAAGTAATCAATTACATGCTTCAGGAACACCGATTATCTACAACTCACATTTTCCTATAATAAAAATATTCAATGTTTTCTATAGGAAAACTATGGAAATTCAAATAAGCAAAAAGGAAAAATACTTAAAAAGCAAGTAAACTCACAACACAGAAACAATAGTGTTAACACCATGACTAACACTGTATATCTTTTTAGCCCTCTATTTGTACATATACACACAATATTTTAAATCTTTTTTGAAAAAGATGGGATTATACTATATATGCTATGTGATGATCTCTTTTTTAAAAAAAATAAATCATGGTCACTTTTCTATTAATATTCATTAGATTTTGATGATATATGAATTAGTGTTTATCTTTTTAAAAACCATGCCAAACATACCTGGAATTTTTCACCTTTGTGCATCTGAGTTGATCTAAATTCAGGAGAATCTATAAAGGCACAGGGGTAAATATTATGCAGAAAATGTCCTCGATAGGAGACCTTCATTCTGATAACAGAAATCAATGTTAATATACATATATTTCACAAAATAACATGACAATCCTTCAAATTACCATACGTTTATAGGATTATATTTTGTGCAAAAGTTTTAAAGATTCCACAGATGATAGACATGATTAAAAGCTCTTCCTGAGGCACACCATCATTTAAAAAATAATGGAAGGAAAAAAAAAACTAGCTTTCATTATTAAACAGGTTATCATTGCGCTTATGGCTGGAGTGACTATGTAATTTGTTACTCAAACTGGGAGACTTTTAAGAGGAAAAGGGATGCTATTAATAATTACACCTGTATGACACAAACTGGCTCTTTCCCCAGAAGACTGACATCCCTGGAAGATATATTTTTGTGATATTCAAAAATAAGCAAATCACCTCTATAGCACATATAAGCTTTTTAAATGTTAGAGCCAAATTTAAACCTATTTTGATTTTGACTCATTAACTTAACAAAATTTGAAAATAGTTAAAAATGTCTGCAATTGAAAACTTTGACATCTACAAGATTTAGAGTAGTAAAGTCTACCTAGCCTTAACATGGTGCTCCACTGAGTACCAGAGTTGACTTGTAAAACAAAATTGCATCAACACCATACTCTGAGACTGCTTCCTGCATTAGTTGGCAATATGTCCTTCTACTCCTTTCCTTGCTAAGGGCCATGGAAAGGTTTCAAGGCAAGTTAAGAATTCCTGCTTCCATACAGCACTTACTTTCCCTTCAGGAGAATACTCAGACGGTCATCAACTGAGGTTTTATCCTCTGCGGCATAAGTCTGCCCCTTTTTCAAGGTTTGGATCATGCAAAACTGTCCAGTCAATCTTCTGAACAAATCTGGAGGCACATGGAGTGGTTCAAATAATCGCCGGTAGATGCCAGTGAGTTCCCTTTCAATCTTGACCTGAAATGGAGCAATGACCAGATGCTGCACTAAAGCAACAACCCCCAAACACTCACTTCTGTGGTCTAAATGTGGTTGGAAAATAAACAAATCTGCAGTAAACACCATCACTCTTCTGCATGTAGGTCAATGGAGTCTTAGAGAGTAAGTAGTGATGCAAGTTTATACTTTATGTGCTAAAATAAAGTAAAATAAAACAGCACTTTTGCAGTAAACACAACTCTGAGAGCACAAGGGGAAGACTGACAGTATTGATCACACCTCTTTTTATGGACCTTGATGCAGCTGTTAAGGTTCTGAATATTATCAGGACATGCACCCTCCCAACCCCAGAACATTCTACAAATAACACAAAACCTTTGTCTCACCAAAAGAAATTACATTAACTTTTAAATATTATAGCAAGAAAATACATTACATAAAAATAAGAATCAATGTGAAAACAAATTGACAAAAATAATAGTCAGATACTCTAAGCATTTAATCACCTTGTAACGATTACTTAATGTACCAATATAGGAAAATAAACATCTACAACTGCAATCACTGCTTCACATTTATGTCTTCTCGAGCAAACTGAAGGGGAAAAAAGGGTTTCAGTTTCAGTGCAGGGATCTCATCCTAAACTAAAATGAACTCTGCAGAATGGAGAAAGCCCACTGGTGAATAAGGCTGGCTACTGGAGGAAGAGAAAAGCAAAACAGCTTGATCGCCTGTTTTCAGATTCTCCCAGGCCCAGGTCCTGCCCCATCTCTGGGCCCAGCAATGTCTCTGGAAGCCACACTAATTGGGTGCATGGAAAGCTGCACTGCTCTGTGAATGAACTCTGTCCCAGTTAAAGCTCTGGCAGATGCACTTGGAAGCTTACAGACCAGATCACAAGAGCTGCTCCAACCTGTCATTGCTCCAACATTTGCAGTGATCTTACTTGTCCTCTGTTTCATTTTGATGAAGAACCAGAATTTATATTTTTCAGAATATAGGCTGATAGCCCAAGAAGAAACAAAAGCACAGATGTGAAGTACTTTACCTTTTTGGTGCTTCAATCACATCAGCAACTCCTGAACCTTGTATTTTGGGGTTCCAAAAAGTTCTGGTTTTCAGGAACTGTTATCCTCATTGTTACAATCACTTACATCCCCCAACTCCAGAGCTCTAGTAATGAGCATCTAAGTCTATTTGCACACGTCTTTCTTCTAGCATGCACTTTCTCCAATATGGCACAGTCAGATCTGAAGTCTAGGGACACATACTCATAATCTACTTATCCTACAAGTCTCAGCTCATAACCAGATTTCTTTACGAAACCCTCTTAATTCTGCTCCTCTTTTAAAGCATCCACTCATCAAGTTTTTTTCCGAGCACCTACTGTGTGCCAATCATGCTTGACAGAAACAAGCTACAACAGTTAAGTGTGTTAGATTATATTATTGTTCCCAACCCCTATAAAAGGGTTATACTTGCCCTTACTGCACCCACTCATTGTCAAGCTTGGCCATGTCATTTGCTTTGGCTAATGAAATATGAGCAGAAGTGACATGTGTCTCTTCTGAGCAAACATTCTAAGAAACAATGGATATTTTCTTTTTCATTTTCTTGAACTTTTCCCTCTGCCATGAGAATGCATGGCCCAAACAGAACCTGCTCCTTCAGAGACCCTGAAATGAATATGATAATGAGACAGAATCACAGCTGCACACCGCTGCGAGTCAACACATTAGATGAATGAGGAAAAAAGCCCATGGCTATTATATATCACTGAGATTTTCAGGTTGCTTATTAGCCAGCATGACCTAGAGAAAACTGAGTAATACAGTAAAGTAACAAACTGAGTTACTATGTTTGAGGAGGTTACAAAGTGGAATGCCTACTGTATACATCTAATGTATCATTCAAATTGTGGCTTCCTGTAAATCACTGTGTTTCCTAGCAGCTCTCTACGAGCAGGTCTGAACTTGGACATAAGATTAGAGTAAGAGCTACATCCTTCACTGAATGTTTGTGTTTAGGACAGTCAGGAATCATCCTCAAGTAGTTTCTAGGAGCCCTGCTGTTTTCCTATTCTATTTTTGTTCTGGGTATGACCAAGGAAACACAAGATAAATCAGAATTGAAAATAAACAGTTAAATAGGGGTGTTTTGGCAACTATTCACCCAAAATGAACAATTTGGGCATATGAAAAAAATACATAACCATTACACTAAGAAAATAGTATAAACTCATTGGGCTGGGGTTGTGGCTCAGCTGTCCAACGTTCGCCTTGCACGTGCAAGGTCCTGGGTTCGATCCTCAGCACCATATAAAAATAAATAAATAAAATAAAGGTATTGTGTTCAACTACAACTAAAAAATAAATACTAAAAATTTTTTTAAAAGAAGTATGAACTCAGGAAATCATTAGTAGATTTATGGAAGTTGCCATAAATATTTTAGATCTAATATGAAATTATCACTAATGGTTATTAGTTAGCCATTTTAGAAATAGGCAAAGATATTCCCAAGTGACATTTGAGTACCAATAGATAAAGATATAATCAAGTAATAGATTTTAAAAAAGAGAATATTATTCATGTTTTAATGATTTAAAAAGTTTTAAAAACTCATTTGTAGGACAAATTTCACAGTTCTAGAATGTTTTACTTTCAGGCAATATATAAACAGAAAGTCTAATCTTCAGAGAAATGATATTAAAGGGAATAAATGTGTTAGATGTTCACTTTCAAGTCTGAATGAAAGTACTTTTAAAAGCTTTTATCTTTAAAATATTTCCTTTTAGATAATTTTAGTAATTACCGGTCTTTTCTTGTATAAAAGATATGAAAGATGCAAAATGTTGACACCCAAGAACACAGAGTTCCAGATCATTATATCCAAGGCACATCGGTAGAGAGTGGCCCAGACGATATAAAGGGTGCAACCTGTTGAACAACAAAGTTAGCATATTAGATATCTAGAATGACTTCTGCAAGTGGCTTGACAAATTTACCCTCTCTATATAAACGAACACATTTCAGAAGTATTTATGCTGAATTAAGTTTCCTTTGGGTTTTCTATTAAAAAAATATTTGTTAAAAGGGGACAAAGTTCATAATTCTACAACTTAAAGAAAATCACAGCTGATATTTAATACTGCCTTAAAACATTCATGTAGTTCTACCTGATGGAAAACCTATGGTACAGATAATTTTTTTTGAGCAATTTTAAAACCTATTTTTAAAACTTATTATAATGATTTTCCCATCTTTAAAACTCTTTGTAAGTGTAGTTTTTAATGACTGTAACTGATTAAAACACAATTTATTTAACCATTTCCCTATTGACAGATATTTTGGGGGTTATAATTTTTGATAAGTAGCAAAAGCAACTTTATATATAAAACCATATCTTTTATTTGTGATTAGGAATGAACTGCTTAGCTTTGGATAATATTGAAGAACTGTTTTTCAAAACATTTGTACAAATTTATAAACCTACTAGTTGGGAATGCCAGTATAAAGTTGTGATTAATTAGTAGACAACTTCATGCTTGTGATTAATTAGTGGAAGGTGAATCTAGGGAATGAACCTACTAGTTGGGAATGTCAGTATCAAGTTGTTAATATTATAAAATTTGAAAATTCTTAATAGTGAGGAATTAAATATTTTATTTTGTATTTTTGTGATTACTGGGGAACCCAAGTGTTTTACAAAATGTCTTAGTCATCTGAATTGACCTCAGCAATTATCTATTCAACTGCTGGAATCTTCCCATGTTTTCTCATCAATTCTTGTTTCTTATATAAAATATCCTCAGTTTCTTTCAATTTTATGGTGGGAGAGTGAATATTTTAAATCTAATATGAAATGATCACTAAGAGACAAATATATCAATATGTGCACACAAAAGCTAAGCGTGGACATTAAAAAGTCATTTATTTGCAATTTTTAACTTCATCAATTTTTAACTTCATTTTTGAGAGCATCTGAATAAAGCCTATCACTTTACTGTCTGTGTCTTCACTTATCTCTTTATAAAGTATTGGACTAGATGATCCCTTTGGTCCATTCCATCTCTAAACTCTGATTTTAAAATTCATAATTGGATTTAAAAAAAAATTGTGGGTTTTTCTTTTTCATTTTCCACCTAACATCCTGCTCCTTTAGATACTATTTCTACCTTGTCTGAATCACACAGCCGTAGAAGACACTCAAGCTACTTTCTAGCTACCCTTCCAGCCTCCTCTTGTCATTTCTCATATACTTCAGGGACAAGAGCCACTCCTCATTCACCCTGATATGCTGAAATTCCTTTCCTCTCTTCTGTGCCCCTTAATAGGGACCCTGTACTCTCAGAGAAGTCCTGCTCATCTTAAAAACCAGCTGTCATGTGACCCCTTCCTAGTGGGAACTTGCTCCAACCTCCTACTAATGCTGACACCTTCCCTACACTCCCCCTCACCCAGGCACTGGGAAAACACCTGCGTCACAGACTCTGACCCTCCATACTGTGACTGCCCATCGTTTTTCTCCTGGTCCCCATGACAATCTTTAGAAGGATGGAGATTGCCTTCCTCAATCTTGATCGGACACATTACAGGTGTCAAAATACACCTGATGGGCTGGGGTTGTGGCTCAGCAGTAGAGCGCTCACCTAGCACATGTGAGGCCCTGGGTTCGATCCTCAGCACCACATAAAAATAAATAAATAAAGATATTGTGTCCAACTGAAAAATAAATATAAAAAAACCTGAATAAATGGATAATCAGAAATAATTTCATAGAGAATAATTTTTCAAGAATTACTGGCTAAAATAATAGACTCAATTGTTTCAATATTTTGATGTGAATCAACCTGTTTCATCAAGGCTACTAGACTAAATCAATCTTCCTACCTATCTACCTACCTATCTATATCATATATAGTTGTGAATGTCAATATCAAGTTTTACTTGGAACTATTATATGTGGGTAATTGTTTTTATTCCCAATGTTGCTTTACTGGCCATAGCAAATATCTTTTCAAATAATAATGATTGAGATTGTATAGTACCTACTATGTGCCAGGTACTAAGGTAAGGCAAATATCTATCTCACAGACACACCTCATTTAACTCTCTAAAACAACCCAGGAGGTAGTTTTATTTTTAACCCTTGACATGTAAGGAAACTGAGGTGACAGAAAAACTAAACTATTTGCCCAAATTACACAGTTAGCAAGCAGTGGAAATAAGATAAGAATCACACAATTGTGTACACTTTTGCATATGCACGGATTTTCTGATATCTGGAAAATCTAAATATATGAAAACACAATAGTCATTCAAATTAAAAAGGGAGATACAGTATGTGAAGGCCTATGTTCTAAGTTACCTGATACACAACTGATTCGATGATAAAGATTTAGAGTTTGGGGTATGCTATAGACCTGACAAGGAATACTCTGAAGCCCTGGTCAAGCCCATTTATATAAAATCTGTTAGGCAGCTCACCTATAGTTAACATCCCTCTAAGAAATATCATATGAAGGTGAAGAGTAGTTGGAATAACCAAACCAACTGCAAAACAAATATTTGCCACATGAAAAACTAGATGATGTATCTCTCTCCAGTTTTCACAAGTGGTCTCATTGGAAGGCACAGGTGTGAGACTTTCTAACCCAGGTGTAAAACCTATTGCAGTTGATTCTGCCAGAGGGCTGGACTCTGTAAAATTCATGTTGAAAATTCCTGTAAAAACAAATAAACAAAAGGAAAATCATAAAAGTAGCAACTATATCACATCACCCCTGTGAGAGGGGCTATGCCAAAATTATTTCTGTGAATTGAATGTTGGTAAATAGTCTGTTTCAGTGCTTAAGAATTAGATAGACTCACATATTAACTATACCTCTTTGCTTATCTGTTAAATGATGTTAATAATACCTCATTTGTTTTATGCTCAAATTAAATGAAATATATAAAACACTACACATAGTGTACAACTGTTCTCGATGTATTTCGATGAGTATGTGCATATTTTATGTATTTGTATGTATATATATGTACTTGATGGGGAGGAGTGAAGGGAATTAACAAGTCTAAAAGAAAATCACCAATGTTCATAAACCACAGCAGTTCCAAATTTATTCAATATAGTGTTTCATCATATTCACAATGATGATACTAAATCTAAACACAGGAAAAATAACTGGAAAACTGATTTTTTGAATACTTTCAAAGATAACTGATACCCCCAAATTTGCTATTTGGAATCTTAGACTATTTAGAAGGCTTGGGATATTTGAATGCTCTATTTTTATAACATCATTAAATCATTATATAACATTATATTCATACTAAGTAATTATATATGCATATAATATTATCAGATACATTATTTATATATATAAAGATATAATACATAAAGAAATAATAATTCTAGTTGATGGCATTTCACAAATTAAAAAGTTGTAAACTTACAATTTATTTATATGCAGGAGGGTCATGAATATATATTTGACTAATATTAAGATTCATTTAAATACATTTCAAGGAACATATATTTTATGCCTGCTTATATAAAACTTAATACAAAATAGCACTCTTTCCTGACTATATTACCTATATTTGATGTCTGGTCCTTAAACTTTATTATTAATTATACAAATTTGGTCCTTGACCAAAACTATATAGGTTTATGGAACACATGAATTAATCTGATAAGGGAAAGAATGACAAGTGGGAACCCAGAATACCTTTAAATCTAATTTAGAAATATATACTTTTTTTCAAAATAATGCCACACAATTAACATTAATTTTCCATTCATTTTTTTTAACATATTAAATATTTTAGGTGGTAAAATAATTGAAATAGGTTGGGTATTTTGAAAGGATATTAACAGACAAACGTGAAAGAATTTGACATTTCTTAAGATGACAAAATACACACATACATGAAACATACAAATTTATAAACTGTCAATGAAATGATAGTCAAATTAAAGATCTCTTCGTGTAATTCTGAAATAGCTCACAAATAGTAATAATTGTCTTAAATGTTGTTTTGCTGCGAAAGGAAAAAAACAAAAATTCAACTACTTTTGAAATGTCTAAATGAATAAAAAGCCTATTGGGATGGAGAGAAATCATTATTTTAATTACTCTATACCAAGTTTGCTTTTGGGAGCTAAATCAAAATTCATCTCATAATTTCTGCAGGAGAGTGGATGATATTAAGTGTTCCCTTACTACTCATAAGCTAAAGTCAAGTCCCCTAGCATTACATAAATAAATAACAAGTAACATTTCTATGGTACTCTAGAACATATTTGCATCTCCATTGTCCCATTTGTTCCAACTATTCTATGTCTTCTATGAAGAAGGGGTAATGCTTATTCATCCATGACAAGGCCTAGCCTCTATAAAGAATGCCACTGAGACAGAGATGAAAGCCACATGGAAGGGATATAAACATGACACATACTTTTAGAAATCACTTTTCACTGGTGAAGACAAGAGAGTGCCTAGCTTTCCTAGGCTGACAGTCAGCTTCTGCACAAGCCACCAGGGAGCCACATAAGCCAGGCAAAGTTACTGCTGTTCCTCAGTCTGTTTCTGCCTTGGAATAGAGGCAGCTGGACTAGATGGTCTTTGAAATTCCTTCAAGTTTTAAAGGTCTATGGTTTATGTAACGACTTAATCACATTCCCCCTTGCAGCCACTCCATTATACTAATTTTGCCTACTAAGTCCACTGTGATTCAATTTTAGGCATTTGAAAGTCCTTAAAGTGGCATTAAAAGTCCCGATTTCTGGCCCAGGAAAACTACAATCCAGGACACAGGAACCAAAAAATATCAACGGCAAATTTAAAAATTTAGGATCATCCTAAAACATATTTTGGTGCACCACACCTTATTAAAGATATGCAGATACAGCTAGATATATAGATATAATATATATCTATTGTGAAATGCCACTTACCACTTGTCATTAAATATTGATGGGATCTTATGGGTTTCAGCTTATGTTGATTACTACTGAGTGGACTTAAATGTCTTATGTTGAACTGCCCCTAAACAGAGAATGAATTGGTGTGAGGAAGGTTAGACTGGTAAATTGGTAAACTTTCATATTAATTTTGACTAAATCAAGAAGAGTTATCTTTTTCTCGTCAGATCCTCAAAGTCTAATTCCTTAAATTACCTGTTCTAGTAAAATCCTATTATAACTTGTTTTTCAAGTAGGTATTGGCAAGGCTAAATAGCTAAATGGTGAAGCTAATGTTAAACCTTAACCAAACTACAAAAATTAAGATAAACAGCACGGAGTAAAACCTTGCTAATAGACTTAATTAATTTTGTTATTCTAACTGAATCTTCAAACATCTCCGGAATGGCAAATGGCATTATGGCTGAGAGTCTTTACGCAGTTGTTCATGCTCCAAAGCAGGCAGTTTCTGAGACTTGTCTGGCCAACAACCCAATTCCCAAAGGCTCGGGAACTAAGCGGAGTACGTGGCGAGGACCGAGTCATTTGCTCTCCTGAGGCCCCGCTCACCTTGGTCAATTGATCTCCGGGACTAAACGATCCTGTGCCGCGAGAAGTGCGGTGCTAGCACTGTACCCCACCTCGCACTTCTACCGCGGTCCCGGGATGGGCGACACCCTGCACCTGACTGCACGCAGTCTCCGCGGTCGGGGCAGCCGTGGAGTGCTCAGGGACCGGGAGCCCCGGGATCCCCAGGGAGAGAGACTCCGAGCTCGCCAAAGGATTTGCCCGCTGCAGAGCGCGGGAGCCGGCACCCGGTGGGTCAAGCGCCTGGGGACGCGGGCACTGTCTGACCCGAGCTTTGGCAGCTGACATCCAAGGGTCTGTGGTCGCGATGCCCAAACCAGAGCAGATGGGTGGCCTCCAAGGACAGGGAGCGCCGCGAGCGCGCGGACAGCGATCAGGGCAGAGGGCGGCGCTCTTGTTGGCCGGGGCGCTAAACACTGGCAGCTGCCCCGGAGGCCAACAAAGTTGCTCTCAGCGGAGCTGGATACAACTTTCGCTTCCCGATTTAGCTCCCGGAGCTGAGGGCTGCAAAAGAGCGGCACCCAGGGAAAGCCGGCGGCAGCTGTGCCTCCCTCCGGCTCCTTACCTGGTTTGTCCCCGGCACGGAGCCCGGGCGTCGCTGGCCAAAGTTTGGCGATGGAAAGGCAGGGCAGCGGAACAGCGACGCAGCGGCTCGACGGGCGCCCAAAGCAGGAGCCTCGGCCCGCAGGCGGTTTCGGAGACTGGGTAGCCCCGGGCAGGTCCCAGCGCCCGCCGCGGCTTTGACTAAAATAGGCATCGCCGCGACTGCGGCGGCGGCGGCCGGGGCTGGGGCCGCACCGCGCACGCGCCGGCGGCCGGCTCTCCCCAGGCAGGCGCAGCACAGCGCCGGGACATGGACTCCCAGCGCGGCTGTTCCAGCTCCAGCACCAGCTCCTCGGCCTTTCTGCACACACGTGTTATCAGTTTTAAACGCCCGCTTGTTTCTTCCTCACTTCCTTTCTACTTCTGAATTCTGCCCTTGTTTGGGCATGAATGGTGGCAGACGGCCTTTTTGGGCCAGGGGTCTTGGTCTCCCATCCCCATGAGGATAATTGGAGAACTAGGGACAAGATAGGAAAACTGGTTCTTCATTTTCCCCAAAAGTTGAACGACCCACTCACATAACTCTTTTCTAGGACACTCGCCCACAAGCAGGGAATGTCCCCATGTGTGGGCAACTGAGCTTCGGAGTCTGGCGGTGGAGGCTGGACATTGATTTCACAAAGACGCAGGACACCACCTTCCAGCGAGTGCCCAGCCCTGCTGGTGTCGCTCTAGAAGCCACACAACACAGACTTTTGACACATGCCACCTTATTTTTTTATTATTATTTTTTCTTTTTCCAAGAAGGGTTCTTATCCGAAATTGGCCTTCCCGTGGTGCTGCAAGGCCCTTGGTTGTGGGCAAAGCCCCACCTTGCATTTTTGCCACATAGATTTGGGACCAATAATTGAAAAGTAAGATATGAAATTATGCTCCAATCAATCTTGACTGTTTACTGGACAGCAATATTAGGTAAGAAATGCAGGCAAAATTACAGAAATGAAGAGTTGACATTGGTTGGGAAGAGTTGTAGGACAAATGAGAACTGTGAGACAGGGATCCAGTTTCCACCAGAAGTGTCCCATTGTATTATAGAATTTTCCCCAGTTATTGGAATATGGGGTCATTCATGCGTGCCAAATATAGTTGATCCAAGTATAAAAAAGACCACTATGTGTACATTGTAAAGAGAGTTCTGGGGGCTGGGGATGTGGCTCAAGCAGTAGCACGCTTGCCTGGCATGCGTGCGGCCCAGGTTCGATCCTCAGCACCACATACAAACAAAGATGTTGTGTCCGCCGAAAACTGAAAAATAAATATTAAAATTCTCTCTCTCTCTCTCTCTCTCTCTCTCTCTCAAAAGAGAGAGAGAGAGAGAGAGAGAGAGAGAGAGAGAGAGTGTGTGTGTTCTGGAAGACACTGGCCAAGTCTCTAGCAAAGAGGCATGCAGCCTGGCCTTCATGAATATGGACTGTGGTACCAACAAGGTTTGAATTCTGTCCCTAGTACTAGCTTACTGTGTGGGATAATTTGGATCTGGAGAACCCCCAAAAGCCCCTATGTTGAAGGCTTGGTTCCCTGCCTGTGACACTATTAGGAGGTGGTGTGGCCTAGTGGAAGGAAGTTACCATAGTCGCTGTCCAAAAACTGGCATGCCCTTGAAGGAGCTATTAGGACCCTGACCTTTTGCTTGTGGGCTGCTAGGGTTGCTATATAGTAAGAAGCTTCCCTCCTCACCTCCTCCTCCTGCTCCCACCTTTATGTACTGTATGGCCACAGAAAGGTAAGCAACCTGGTCAAGTGGCCATGAACTGAAACCTCTGAAACTGTGAGTCAAAATAAACATTTCATCCTTTTAAGCTGATTTTCTCAGGTATTTTGTAACAGTGATGGCAAGCTCATACACTGTTTAGTATATTATTTGGTCTATGTTCATCAGGGAATTTGAAGTTTTCTTTCCTTGTCTTTGTCTTGTTTTGGCATTAGGGTGAAACTAGATTTATAGAATGAGTTTGGAAGGGTTCCCTCCTTTCCTATTTCATGGAATAATCTCTGAAGGTCATGTAGAATTTGGCTGAGAATCCGTCTGGTCCCAGGCTTTTCTTGGTTGGTAGGCTTTTGATGAAAGGGAAGTTTTGAAACAAACTTATCCTCTTTCTGTAACTCATTTGTCATAGTTTGGATCTGAAATGTCCCTCAAAGGCTTCTGTGTCAAAGACTTGGTCTCCAGCCTATAGTAGAATCTTTAGAAGAGATAGATATGGTTGGAGGAAGCTAGGTCTTTGGGGGTATACCTTTGAAGAGGATATTGAGACCCCCTCCTCCCTCTTTCTTTCTTCTTTTTTTAAACAAGACACTTTTTTAAACTTTTTTTTTAACATTTAGTTTTTAGTTGGAGGTGGATACAGTACCTTTATTTTATTTTTATGTGGTGCTGAGGATCAAACCTAGTGTCTCACGCATGCTAGGCAAGCACTCTACCACTGAGCCACAACCCCAACCCGACACTTCTTTTTTTAAATACCTTTATTTTGTTTATTTTATTTTTTATGTGGTGCCGGGATCAAATCCAGTGCCTCATGCATGCCCTGCAAGCACTCTACCACTGAGCCACAACTCTGCCCCGCCCCTCTCTCTTTAGCTTCCCACCTACCATGAGGTGAGCAGCTGCTTCCAACTCACAGTTATGCCATGATGTGCTGCTTCTCATCACAGGTCCCACAGTATCTGGGCCAACTACTAGGGAGTGAAACCCCTTTAAACTATGAACCCAAACAAACCTTTTCACTTCTAAAGTTGATTTGTCTCATGTATTTTTTTTACTGTAATGGAAAGCTGGCTCACACCCTCTTTTAGGACTAAAACCATAATTTATAACAAGTATCTTATCGTGTTTTAATTACTTATCATAGATACATGAATACCAAATCTATAATATAAATTCAAAATAAAAATTCTGGACAAAAAAACCCTGGGTTTGCCTCCCTGGTCTCCTCCTGCTAGCCTTAGAAAGGCCAACTTGAAAGGACCGGAGCATTACTTGAGAATTATATGAAGCAAGGAGGTGTCTCACACAGATGTGTACAATGAAAAGAGCAAGATGCATAAAGAACACAATATAGGGCAGCCTGTCTATTTTGTAAAAACTCTGGCCAGTATAGTTTGGATTGGCATAGACAGTTATTTCTACCTTTATTTCTCTCTTTCTCTCTTTTTTTTTTTTTTTGTGTGTGTGGTGCTGAGGATTGAACCAAGGGTCTTGTGCCTGTGAGAGCTATATCCCAGCCCCTCTACCTTTATTTCTCTATGGTTATTCTAGTCTACCTCTACCAGTTGGACAAAATCCTGATGAGACTTCAAAATTCAGACAGAATAAGTTTTGTAGAAGTAAAACAAGACCTGAAAGTGTCACTGGTCTTAGTGGTATGTATGTAATGTCAAATAGAAGTATTTTCTTAGCCAGTACATGCCCATGGGTTACATCAGTGGAGGCTTTATTTCAGTTGTCACTCCTAATTTCATGGAGACCATAGCTTCTTCTGATATAGTCTATAGACAATGCTAGTCAAAGATGGATCAGTAAACAGTTTAATTAGATTCTTTCTGAACTCAAGTTTCTCTCTTTTCTTTTCTCTTTCCTTCTTTCTTTCTGTGGCTGGGGGGACATTTTTGGTACACTGTCTAGGCTGGCCTTGAACTCCTGGGCTGAAGCAATCATCCTGCCTAAGCCTCCTTAGCTAAGATTATCATCATATTCCAATATACCCAGCTCCAGGTTCTCATTAAATGTTGCATTAACTTTTTCATTGACCAGTTTGACAACTAACCTCATTGCTTACTCTTCAATTTCTTTTGCTTTTAAAAAACATGAGTAGACTTCTCTTAGATCAGTTTAAGTTTAGAGATGATTGAGTAAATAGTAGAGAAAGTTCTCATATACCTACTCTCCCGCCTGCTCATTATTACCCTGATAATTGACATTTTATGTTAGTGTGGCTCATTTGTCACAATTGGAATGCCAACAATGATACATGTGTTAGTTAGCTTTCCATCACTGTGACAAAATAGCTGAGGAAATAAACTTAAAGGATGAAAGATTTATTTTGGCTCGTGGTTTCAGAGGTTTCAGTCCACGGTCACTTGGACATCATTGATTCTGGGCTTGTTGTGGTGAGGCAGAACATCAAGGAGAGAAGCATGCAAATGTGGAGTTGACCTGCCCAAGAGAAAGGGGGCCGTCTTATGGGCTTTTGTAGTGAAACCCAGTGTGTGTGTGGGGGGTGTCGGGTCTCAGGGAGGGGAACCATGATGTAGTGATATTACAATGAACCCTGGATCACCCAAGGACAGCATCTCTGTGCTTCTGAGCATGCTCCAGTCCCTGAGACTCTGACTAATCCATTTTCTCCAGATTGACAGGGAGCTGTTTGACCAAAGGAAGGCAGTCCCCAGCAGTGTAACTGCCATGGGACACGGCCCAGGGGGCACCACCTGAATTTCCTTTCCCCACCTCCCCTGCTCATGTCTGTCTAGCTACCTACTCTAACCATAGGGTATCTTTTCTATCCCCCCTTGTAGTGCTCTGCACATAGTACACAACGTACACAATAGTATACAATCGATGAAAATTATTTGCATTTCAGTTTACTTGTTTAATTGAAATGAATCTCAGTCATCAAAATTCCCTAGTCTGAAGAACTAATTAAACTGTCCTGTGAACACGTGGAATAGTTAAGGCGTAGCTTCATTTTCTATGCACTTGACTATTTTAAATAGATGAAATACAGCACACACAAGACATTTCAAACAAAACTTGCTATAAATTACAAGACTTTGCTGCATGCTAAAATTTCCAGTGGTTTGGAATTTCCCTGGAGTAGCCAGAAATGAGATATTGACTTCAAAGGCAAACTTATGAAATATGCAAGAATATAGATCTTGGAAACTGGGCATTGGCAGAGCTAAGTTACAGTAATTCACCTATCTTTGGGTTGGCAGAAATGTGCATACAGTGACTTAATGTCAAAGATTAGAGCGTTGAAATTCCCTCTGTCTATTCTTTCTTACATGGTTTTTCTTCTAAAACAAAGGAGTTCTACTTGTGATTTTTTTTGTTTTAAATGTTAATAATTACAAAGGTCACAGGTGAAGCCTTTAACAGGCTTTCCTAATCCTTTAGGACATTATTTCAAAATGAAGAAATTCATTATAAGTAACCAGGCAGAACAGAATCATGTCTAAAA